AGGACAAATTTATGCATTTCTGTTAAGTCCCAAATTAATGTTAAGTCCCGAACTGCACCTTACCAGAAGTTAAAGATTTGAACATACACAGGATTACGACTAGATTACAACCGAACTAGTAGCTTGCGTTGGCTTACTGCACGTGTACAGTGGACATGACTGTGATAGATATGTACTAACAGCTGAGATCAGGTAAATGTTAACGCTGACAACACTGTTGGCAGGTCACTTATGCAACTTATGCAGTGAATCGTTGATATTGACTCGATTATATTAATGTCACTGATCACTGCTAATGCCGAGTCGGCCTTCACAATAGATTGTCAAATAAAGTTGAACAAAAGAATCTAGATGTGATACCATTATTATTTGTGAAAACCAATTAGCTATTATTATTTTAACTAAGTAATTCGAAATTCCATAAATATTATTTGATTCAGTTGACTGATACAATCTTAATTTATACCTCAGTCTATAAATTGGAACATAGTCTACATTATCAAATCTGTTCAAAATCAAATAAGCTGATGCAGTCTTATTCCGTTAGATAAAAAATAAAGTTCATATAGACCTAGGTTTTAATTTCTTTTAAAGGTTTAAATTCTTTTGTTCGTCCAATTTTTTTTATAACTTTTATAACAAAACCACATTTTTAAAATTCTTTTTTTATTGTGAAAATGACGGTAATCTAAGCATATACTGTATCTATGTTGGACTGGATAAATAAATCATATTTATATCGACATTTTAAAAACGTACGATAATGATACTTGTACTTTTAGTGAATTTCCCATATAGGGAATATTAGCTATTACAGTAGGTCTCATGGTAAGACATAGTCCCGGTACCGATTACATTTTTCGTTTTGAGGTCCCCAGAGGCCAAAAACACAATCCGTTCAAATTCATAAAGGAAGGGACTACAGTATATGTCCGTTGGTGCGATAACTCGAGCAAAAATGATCAAATTTTGATGAAAATTGGTACAAACGTGAAACCTACGTTTATTCGAGCGAGTTCGCGAACCAGCAGAATTGGACTATGGGAAGGGTGGTTTATGGGGTAAAAATTAATTTTTCCCATTTCGACCCTAAAAACACAAAATTTCTCTTCAAACCATTTTCTAGAGCTTAGAAAAAGAAATAATTTTGAATATTGAAGCGTTGTTGTATGCCTAACGGTTACGGAGAAAATTAAAACAAAATTTAAATTAAAAATTCTCACTTTATTCTTGTGGAGAATAAATAAACTGTTGTAGTTTGCTTGTTTATGGATAGCTATATTGTAATCAAATTTGGCAATTTTGTTTATTTCATACTAAGTAATCTATCAACCTAAACTCACAAACCTAAGTACTCACAAAATTGATGTTATTTATATAGGAAATAAATCCGACATTTTTTAGAGAATATTTTAGTAGAAATCAAGCTCGGTAAATGGAAATTATCTTAGTCTGCAGGTTGTCTGTGGCGGGGGTATTATGAGTAAAAGTTAGCATTTAATGTCACAACTAAAACCCAAAGAGTAGACATGATATGTGACTTGTTTTGTGCCAAATTCAACATATGGCAAAAGACAATTTGGTATTTGATAACGTTATGTAGTTGAAATTACTTCTCGATTTGTAAGCACACCTATCAAGTAAAAAATAGAATGTCCTCGTTGACAAGGAGAACTGACTCAATATTAAAAATCCCTTTCCACAAAAGTAGATTCAATCATCAATGCTCGTATCCTAACCATCCAATCCCTTGGTATATTCCTGTATAAAATGTTATTTGTTGACAGTTCATCTCAATAACTGAGTCAACACTAGATACAACGCTAGATATAGACATTGACGTGGACTAGATAAACACTGAAACGTGTTGTTGTGTTGTTTGAAAAGGGAAAATATCCATCACCATTCAACCACTTAGTTGACGTTTATTTCAAACTATAAGTTCATGAAAGCTACAATTTTACATCTCAGTCTGACATAACGAAACTTAGGAATACATTTAATCCACATATTCTATCAGTTAAATCAAGACCAAAGCCACCTTATAGTATTACTCATAATCAATTTTGTCGCCTTTAGCAGATTTAAAACTCTGTAAGAAATCAAATTATTTATTGAAAATATCATCAACCAAAGCAAACAAAGAAACTATATTATTCAGACAAAAGATATGGTGTACAGGGGAATCTATCCTGACACATAGATAATTTGATTCTAGTTTGTTTAAATATTACAATAATTTGTTATATATTTTAGTGTTTTAGAGAGTTCTGTCCCTACAAGCCACTAGTTTACTTTAATGATAATGATTAATGATCTCAAGGTTTACGCTGTTTAGATATCGGGGTGAATTGAATGCAAATTGTACATAATAGAAATTCTCCCTTGAGTGGACGTGGAAATTGAAGTGACTGTTGGTGGGAGGACGCTCAAGGAGACATCACGGTCAACTTTTCATCTTATAAAAAGGGCAAGAGGGCGTAGTAATTACAACAGGGAGGTGTTCATTTTAGTAGAGCATCGAAAAGGAATCGATCATAGCTTCTGCGTTCGATATAAGAAGTAAACTATAGGACCTGAGCTGCTCCACAGAGTTGAAATAAATATAATATAGATGGCAACAACTGACGTTATATGATTATATCTAACTATCTATACTACCTATTGTGATTGTGTGTGTGTGTGTGTGTGTATATGATTATATCTATACTATATATTTTAAAGAAGAGGTGGTGTCTGTCTGTCTGTGTGTTTGTATGAGCTCATTTAAAAAACTACTGAACCGACTGGGCTCAAATTGCACACAAATTAAGCTACACAGCTCCGAGGATACATATTGAACTATTCCCGCTTCGATATTAACTTAAAATATTAACTGGCAACTTTCGTTTCCCAGATATTATTTTTTGGAAAATAAACCATACAGATACAATAGGCTTTTATAAACATTTTGGAAAAAATAAAATCAATAAGTAATGTATTATGCACTTAAAAAATAAAACTCCTTATTCACACACTATCAAAAATTATTTATTAAATTAAAAACATAAACATAACCGAAGCATAAATCCTACTTTGACGGGTCTGACTTAGGGGAGGTACGATTGAGGCATTAGCTCAAAATTCCTCCGTGAACAGCGCTGTAGTAGAGAGCATTTTGGCAATGAAGGTTTTCTAATCGCAAAAATTGTTCTGTTTATAAAATAAAATTATAAATGCCTCAAATTCAATTTTATATTTTTTTTATTATAAAATTACTATCATAACCTAACCGAACTAACCAAACTTGCTGATAATGAAATAATATAACAAAAGTTTATTAATAGAAAAAATAATTCTGTTCATTAAATAAAACAAGAAATTGCTCGATTAAAATTTTATAATGACTTAATAATAAAATTAAACTGTCATAACCGAACCAAACCAACCAAACTTGCTGATAATGAAAAAATCCTCACTTTCTAACTATTTCCCTAAAAAGAAAGTTTCCTGCACAACTTCACGTTAGCACTTTCCAATGACAACAAAAACATGTCAATCGGTTCAGTAGTTTCGGATGAGTAATTGTCACAAAAAACCTGCTTGCGTATTAAATAAGTACTAGTGGTCGTCCAGTGGTCGAAAATTCGACCAAAAATATGTAATATGCAAGCATTGACTATTGGATACTGAAGTAGACATCCCATCTATATGGACCAGCCGTCTCCATTTTTTTTTTACTTGTAGTTGTGTGAGCTAGTCACATAATGTGTGTCTGAAATTTTATTTTCTACCTTATTTTGTTGCTGACAAAGTTGATGGGTCATAACAGTTGCTATAACAAGTCATTCCATAAGTTTGACTTGGTAAAAAAAAACATCGACATTCGACAGAAATTAGTCAATTAGATCAGCGCAATCTTTTGGTGGCTCACATCAATTAAAAAACTGACGACAACAACAACAACTAACATGGGAATGGAATGTCTAGCTGTGGTCAAAGGTAGCGTCTCTATTTTCACCCCATGATGTAAATAAGACATGTGATTGTAATTTCTTCCATTTGTTGTTTATATTTCGTTGTTATTTCGTCACCAGCATAGCAACCCATAATGCCCATGTTAATTTTTTTTAATTTCAAGTTCATTTTTTGTGCTTATATTTGAGCCTATTAAAATTTTTAAAGGGATTCTGCACATCTACAGGAAAATATCATTCTAACAGTATGCGTAGATTTTCCCTGCGATACACACGAAATGAGAAAAAATGTTTTAAAGAAACATCAAACATGCTTGCCTATTAATATATAGATAGATAGATATTAAAATAATCATTTCCTACAGCTATTCTGGCATTTGTAACAGTAAACTGTATTCAACTTTTGCTATTACAGAGTAAACATTCTTGTGTTGAAATGTGAAACGTTACAACCAAAAAAACTTCTAAATGAAGTATTATGATCATTTGTTTTATAAACATTGTGAAAAGGTGTACTGAGGGGAAGGGGGTGAGACTAGGATTGTGTTCAAATGACATGTTAAACAAATAGTAACAAACTATCAACACAGGCTGCAGAGGCGTCATTTGGTCCCTAGGTTAGAGAAAAGAATACAGTATGCTGTCATTACTTTTTACATTTAAAATAAGCTTAACCCCTTCTTCTTTTGTTTCAAAAGTGCCCCCCCCCCTTTTTGGTAGGGGATATTCCATTCCCCCATGTCTCCCCCCACAAGGATTTGGTTAAATGATGGCACTGACAGGCTGCATACACTATGTGTTTACGATAGTTAGTTTCTGATTTACAGATCATCGAAAGAATAGCATTTGCTTCAGAACGTAGGGTGGGAAAGATACTTTTCTGACTTGATTTTATCCGTCTGGACATCGTCTAGTTTTACATATCTTTCGCACACTCTAAAGGGAAATAAATAATGAGCATTCTCATAAATATTTTTGTATTTACAAATGAGTTTCGGTGTGTACAATGTTACAAGAGGACTAACGCATAACTCCGGCGCGGCGCTAGATCCTGGATACCTTGCAGTAAGTAGCAAGCTCCTCGATGGTGCAGGAGTTGTGACAACACTCGTCGACAACCCCTCGCCTGTGCCTGGTGAAGCTCCTGGGGACGAGCCGCAGCGCCGACCTGCGGGGGCGGAACACACCTACTGGCTCCTCGTCGTCTGCTACACAAAATATAACATAACAATGATTGGTCTACGGTAGGAATCATAAACACAAATAAACTTAATAACAAAACTGACCTATTAGCTTACTAACAACCCTTGTATTAGATAAGCTGTGAGAGTAGCTATGGTATTTTAAGGGAAAAATCACCAAAATTGCGATAAGCTTTGAATCGTAATTTTTACAGCATTAGGGGATGTACAATTTGGTTTAGAGTTAAAAGGACCATGACATAACAAATTTAACCCCCGTCGCAGCAATCCTGCCGACTGAGCGAATATCCATTTTTCTGAATCGATTTTCAATTCAATCTATTTAAATAACATTAGGTTTAACGAGTACCTAGGTTTGCTGCTACAAGGAATCTAATAGTGTGTTTTTTTAGTAAAATATTAATAGTTTAGTATAAAAAATTCTAAGTTTGATCAAAATATATCCATAAACAAGCAAACTACTACATATTTTACAATATTCTCCATAAAAATAACATGGAAATTTTTAATTTACAATTTCTTTAATTTTCTTCGTTAACCAATAACCGTACAAAAACACTTTGACATACTGTACTAAATTATTTGTTTATTTAAGCTCTTTAAAATGGCCTAGAGAGAGATTGGAAAATTTTGTGTTTTGACGTTAAAAAATTTGAAAAACAAATTTTAACAGCCTATTGATATTTTACTAAAAAATACTCTTTATTAGTTTCCTTGTAGCAGCCAACCTAGGTACTCATTAAACCCAATTTTTTAAAAATACATTTAATTAAAAACTATTTAATACACATGGAAATTCGCTTGGTCGGCCGGTTTGCTGCGGCGGGGTGTATTTAACATTTAAACCGGCGATAACCGTTGTGCCTTATCAATGGTGATTGCGAAATCAAGACGCAAAGTGAATTGTAGTCGCTTGAATTCAAAGAGTAATTCGGATGAAATAATCGGTATTATTGGGATTAAGACTATTTCCTCTTTGAACTTGCCACTGATATTTGTTGATTCGATCGAGTTTCGTGTAATGTTTTAAATCGTCAGTCTGGTTCCGTTGCACAGCTTGAGTGAATTTAAGTTTCGCATTAGTATTATTGGAGTTCCTTCTCGACAGTAAGTGTGGTGGCATTCCTGGTGGCTCTTTTGAGTTTAGAAATTCAATGGGATGGTTGACAACTTTTTCCTCATCCATTAATGTGTTATTCTACTAACTCTCCCGGCAATTTCAATTGAGTTCGTTGATTTAGCTTGTTAACATAATCATTTTAGGGGCCAAAATTACACGTTCGCAAATCCAATCTGGATCTTTGAAACTGGTTGATAAGTCTGGGAATGAATTTTCTACAACATATTGAATTTTGGTTGCAGTATACAGAAGTTTGAAGAAAACGAAAACTCTTTTGTGGTTTGGTCTATTTCAATTTTGCCATTCCCAATGTCCAATAGCTGTTTAGAAAATGTTTATGCAACTGTTTATTTCAGTAAATATACAATACTAGTGGCTTGTAGGGACATAAGTCCCTAAAAAGCTCAAATGTAAAACACTTTTTGCAATATACCGGTATTTAAACAAACTCAGAATAACATTATCTATGTGTCAGAATAGGCATCCCTACACCATATCTTTTGTGTAAAAACCAGTTTGTTGTTCTTCTTTGTTTGCTTTTGTTGATGTCATTTTCAATAAATAATTTGAATCACTCCAGTGGTTTAACTTGAAAAGGCAGCAAACATATCATTGTTTGTGAATAAATACTGGTGTACTAAGGTAGCTTTGGTCTTGTGGTTAATGAGGATAAATAAAAGCTTCCCTGTTTGGAATTTTAAAAAATCATTGGAGGTTCGCCTTCAGATGAATTGAAGACGCCTGCAATTTCATCTTCAGTAGGCTTATTATACCTACGACGATCCATATTTATCTTGTCTACAAACCTAAGTTCTAATTCACTGTCACCTTGTACAACCATTTCTTCCGAAGCTCTTTTGTAAATTTGTGCAAATGGATTTTCTAATAGAATTTCAGCTATATAGTTTTGACAATATTTCAGGTTTTAAGTCACTATTTTCTCGACGCCTTTGACAAATTTCTGTTGCTGTTGATGTGTCAATAATGTACAATTGGCCATACACGGGGTCTTCATCATGTTGAGGTAGCAAATCTGAGATTGAACGATAAATCTGTCCTTAAATTTGAGATTGAACGATTAATCTGTCCTTGAATTTTGAAACAGTATGGTCCTTTTCCTGGAATATCTTTCTTACTGGTTGAAAAATAAGCAAAAGCCATCGCACTGTTGCATTGTCGAATGAATTTATACAGTTTTGGGCTCTCTTCAAACAAACTTTTAAGTTCTACATTAGTTTTTGACTGAGGAAGGTTAATAAGTCCGTTATGGCAACATGTCATAAAATGATTATTCGTTAGTTCTTCTCTAAAATGAAGAGCACTACATTAAATGCACTCTTGGTCCAGTAATCCTGCATCATGGATCTTTACATTTCTCTCGTCTACCATGGGTCTCCTAAAAAGGGGTTGTAACATATCTTGACTAAGTTCGTCGTTATCTACTCTTGCTCTCCTACGCGCACTGTCATTCCTATGAACAGTTCCCCGCCTTTGTGGTATTCCCCTGGCGTTCATATTAATTACAGTACTTATAATGAAAAAAATATATATCCAGCAGCCTACATACCAAAACATCTTGAATCCCTGGTGATTTTATAAAAGTATGATCGAATATGATTACTCTACGTTGTATATTCACTGCACTAAAAAAAATTACTTACGAAGGAATGCAAATACACCATTTTAGAACCAATAACATTTATAGGTTATTTTAGTTGTATATATTTACACAACCTTAACCTTAAAATGTGTAGAAATATAAAGAAAACAACATAATTTAAAATAAACTTGAACATATGATTTAAAAATAAAAACAAAACAGAAGTTAGATTTAATTTCGACTCTTTGATTATTTATACAGAATATTTATTCTATGTCGTTTATTCCTTTAACACGACAATAACGTAAAAGCATGAAAAAATGAAACTTGAGTATATGATTTAAATATAAACAAAGAATGCAGACGTTTTTCCGACTAATCTTCAATATTTCAGTTTTATTATAGTATACATTTCATAGTTGACTGGCGAAAAGTAAACCAAATGCGTGTATTGATCACTGTTTTCAAATCTGTGGCACAGCTGTTTTAATTTCAAAATATGTAAACAAATTAAACCCCATGTTGTTTTAATGGGAAAAGTTTTATTCTGTTGCGAATTTATGGTAAAAAAAATAAGAAAAATGAATAGTTTTCCCTCAAAATTCACGTCAAGACCTTTAAAATAAGACCCCTCCCATCCTTCTACGGCCATCCAGTCACTCACAATTTCTTTACAAAAATTTGACTTACGGAATTATATATATAGATTGCTGGTGGGGGTTTGATTTTGTTAATACCAACCGTGTGGGGAATAAAATTCAAAATCATGTTAAAAAGTGCGATCATGATCACGTGTACTGAAGGTCATTTAAAAATTTACATCCACGACAAAAATAAAAGTGATGGAATGTCAAGTTCCAGTTAAATTAAAGTCTCAAATTTCTTGCCATAACTTTTATTTTATTCGTCATATCAAAGTCGGATTTGTGGCATTAATTTTCTTTCTTGAAGCTCTTTAAAATGATGTGCTACTTGATATGGGTTGCCGTTTAAAAATTGTAAGTTACCCCTAGCAACCCCAATTGGGGTGGGGTGAATTTCAAAATACCACCAAAATAGTAGTTTACGCGACGATTGCGTAAAGATAGTGTTAACAACACGAGTAGAAAATTTAAGGTAGGTACGAGCCTTGTCGAGTAACACTTTTTACGCGAGCTGCGTACTCTACTTTACCTACGACAGTGTTTTAATTACTAAAAATCCCTACTTATAACTTCTAAGAGATGTTATGTTTTCGTTTATAACCTCTCATTACCACTGGCAGTGATGCTACGAAACATTGTACCAAACACTAAATTACACAACTCAACAATTAAGTTGGCCTGAACAGCTGATTAGTGTTTAGAATCATTACAATTTTACTTCTTCTGTCTCAATCCTTGAACCAGACATTCCGTCCGTGGTATTGGTCCGTTACCCGTGTTTTTTTTGAGTAAAACGGTAAAACTATGCTGTTATGAAAGTTCTGCCAAATTCTGCTATTCGCTTCATATTTTGCCTCAGAAAATTTGAACATATCTCTCCCTTCAGAGCCAGAGCTGTAGCGGGGATGATAACAGTAGACACTGTTTGTAGGACCATGACGTGTTGCATGGTGCACAAGGGTCTTGTCCTACAGGAGCCACAGTACCTCCTTGAGAGGCTGCCTTTCCAGGAGGAGGTCTCTGAGCGCAGTATTTGCCATGAAAGCTTCACTTTCCAAGTGTGAGGCTTGAGTTTGGAAGGCGAAGCTTCTCGTACTTCGGCCCAAAACTGTACAACGACCTCCCCTCTGGCATAAAAAATACGCGTTGTCATAATTTATGAATTAAGATCAAAGAATTGTACAGTGATGGTAAATTATTGTTAGTTATATTGTCTTGTTTCTGTGTTGTTATTGGTCTATTTATTTGTTTGTTAGTTTAATATTGTTATTGACGAAAGTTGTTTTGAGAAGCAGTAGTTGTACTGAGAAACGCTTGATAAATAAAGACCTTTTTATTTATTTAAAGTAAAGTACTTTACATTACCCTAGTAAAGTGTATCGAAGCTTGTTTGAATATATACCATGCATACATATATACCACACATATATACCATATATACCATACATATATGTATACCGTTCAAAAGTACACCAGGGGGATCTATTATGGGACACCCAGTATATAAACTTCAACGAATAGTGTTATTGGCCTCTAGGTGCATCAAAATGAAAATGTTTATCGGTCCCGTGTCCAGGTCTTACCGTGTCACCTAGTTAATAGCCCTGTAATAGCTACTTCCATAGTGAAATTCGCGAAAATGACTCGGCTGGCTTGATTGTAAACAAATAATCGCAACTGTTTGTTTTTTTTCTTTAAATGATATTTTTATTTGAATGATAGGAACCTAATACTTTCATACATCATTTTGAAATCGACGTAAGATGAATAAGCTGGATGAACTAGGTAAGCTTACAAGATTGAACATAGCACACCCAGAAGACTGACAAATGAATGGTAAGTTTGTCCACGTTTGGAGCTATACTTAGAACCCTGTCTGAGGTCCGTCAAGGGTTCAACTATTGATAAGAGATAGTTACATCTATTGGTTCTCATGACAATATTTACACGACTAATATGTTCCATAATGTTTGCATTATTTTGACTGAAATGTGTTTTGACCTTCTTAATATAAGATTGAAATATTAAATATTATGGAAAGTGTTAAAGATCTATTCTCAAAACACTTTCCAAAATATTTCGGAACACTTTGCTATTATCTACATTATAGCAATACAGTAATTATAGCAGCATGCTGTAGTGGACTAGTTATGCCTGCACTATTCCCTTTCAAATAAAATAGTGCTCACATCTTTAAAGTAATGGATGACTTTGTGAGTTTATTCAAGCACACTATACCTACCTAAAGCATTACTATCGAAATCTAATGGTGATGATCTCTTGTTGTAGGTTTCGCAGACAAGTTCCAACGTGTTTACCAAGGCACTACCACAAAGACGCAAGGGTGCAGACGCTGCAGAAAGTGTAGAGGTCTGCGCTGACTCAGAGAAAGAACTGTGTAGAACAGCCAGCACCAGCGGCACGGCCAACATCTACACATTGATATTAGCATATAGAAACATTCATATCAAAGAACTGTTTAGAACAGCCAGCACCAGCGGCACGGCCAACATCTACACATTGATATTAGCATAAAGAAACATTCATATCAAAGAACTGTTTAGAACAGCCAGCACCAGCGGCACGGCCAACATCTACACATTGATATTAGCATAAAGAAACATTCATATCAAAGAACTGTTTAGAACAGCCAGCACCAGCGGCACGGCCAACATCTACACATTGATATTAGCATAAAGAAACATTCATATCAAAGACCAGTCTAGAACAGCCAGCATCAGCGGCACGGCCAACATCTACACATTGATATTAGCATATAGAAACATTCATATCAAAGAACTGTCTAGAACAGCCAGCACCAGCGGCACGGCCAACATCTACACATTGATATTAGGATATAGAAGCATTCATATCAAAGAACTGTCTAGAACAGCCAGCATCAGCGGCATGGCCAACATCTACACATTGATATTAGGATATAGAAACATTCATATCAAAGAACTGTCTAGAACAGCCAGCATCAGCGGCATGGCCAACATCTACACATTGATATTAGGATATAGAAACATTCATATCAAAGAACTGTCTAGAACAGCCAGCACCAGCGGCACGGCCAACATCTACACATTGATATTAGGATATAGAAACATTCATATCAAAGACCAGTCTAGAACAGCCAGCATCAGCGGCACGGCCAACATCTACACATTGATATTAGGATATAGAAACATTCATATCAAAGAACTGTCTAGAACAGCCAGCACCAGCGGCACGGCCAACATCTACACATTGATATTAGGATATAGAAACATTCATATCAAAGAACTGTCTAGAACAGCCAGCACCAGCGGCACGGCCAACATCTACACATTGATATTAGGATATAGAAACATTCATATCAAAGAACTGTCTAGAACAGCCAGCACCAGCGGCACGGCCAACATCTACACATTGATATTAGGATATAGAAACATTCATATCAATGAACTGTCTAGAACAGCCAGCACCAGCGGCACGGCCAACATCTACACATTGATATTAGGATATAGAAACATTCATATCAAAGAACTGTCTAGAACAGCCAGCACCAGCGGCACGGCCAACATCTACACATTGATATTAGGATATAGAAACATTTATATCAAAGACCAGTCTAGAACAGCCAGCACCAGCGGCACGGCCAACATCTACACATTGATATTAGGATATAGAAACATTTATATCAAAGACCAGTCTAGAACAGCCAGCACCAGCGGCACGGCCAACATCTACACATTGATATTAGGATATAGAAACATTTATATCAAAGAACTGTCTAGAACAGCCAGCACCAGCGGCACGGCCAACATCTACACATTGATATTAGGATATAGAAACATTTATATCAAAGAACTGTCTAGAACAGCCAGCACCAGCGGCACGGCCAACATATACACGTTGATATTAGCATATAGAAACATTCATATCAAAGAACTGTTTAGAACTGCTGATAGTTCATAAATGCAATCACTAATCAGATAAGTTCACCTCGTACAAACAGGATAACATTATACGATTGGCCAAGGAAGCAAGATTCGAGTTTGGTTTATAAAATGCAGTAGCCTAAAACACATGATCGCACTACAGCCAAATCCATCAAAGATATTCCACCACACCTTAACCGCTTCTAGCTAAAAAAATCCAACTGTAAGCATATGCACATCACATTAAAGGTCTTTATTAAATATAATACAATGTCGAAAATTTGAGCTCAAAATATCAGCTGGATAAAAAATGGCAGCCTTTCAAAGATTCAAATGGCAGATTAATTGATGTTTGTGCCCTTAGGAAAACTTATATTTTTCGGGGAAGTTTCACATCAAGACTTTCATTTAAGCGCGCGGTTGATAGGTGTGCGGTTTACGGGTTTATCAAAGGTTCGTGATCCTTTAGTAGGTTAAAATAGCTGACATAAATAATTTGTTCTGGTTCTAGTTTGGATTAAATTAAAAAATCAGTAAAATACTGTTACTTTTTAATAAGTGGTATTTTCTTAATGCCCTGTTATACTTCCTGTATGTTCTTTGATCCATTGTTTCCACCCGAAGGTTTTTTCCTTTGTACTGTATTTAAATCTTCTATTAGTTTGGTAATATAATTTTACTAGGAGAAACCCGTCGAAATCGACGGTTAGGGGCCTCTTCGTTTATATGGGCGTGGGGCTACATTGGCAAAAAATAATGCAAATGACATAGCAAAGTGGCATTTCCAAAAAGTAAAGAATACTCTAAATAGGCTGTTACGTAAATATTGCCGTTTAAATGCATTGTTAATCAACGTATCTTATAAAGGATGATGTGATCTAGTATAAAGGAATATGACCTTTCTGTCATGACAGTACTGTACCTGCTTAAATAGTATTTACTCTTTGTGCCATTTTTACAGCCAAAATGTCATGTTATTTTCAATAATATTACCAACCTAGTGGACCACGGGTGTAATATAGGCTACTGCAAATAATTTGTCAAAGATAGGTACCGGTACCATTCTAGGCAAGGTTTCTGTGTTTGGATGTTATTAGACACGATAAGAGCTCAATGAACTTCTTCTACAGATAATTAATCTGTTGGGGACATATAAGCCGAATTATAAAAGCGAGTTTGGGCATTTTGTAACTGTATAAGTAAGTTACATAGTATTTTTAGGCTGCTGCTCTGTCCACTTCATAATTTATTTTTGAAAGATAAATTAAATGGTTTTTGTTGCTGAGTAGCGATAGTTAACATGCAGAATCCTCTTCGTTAGTCTAATAACATTCAAAGGCTCTCTAAAAGTTGAAGTTCTTATTTGTATACATACCCTTATTATGTTTTTAATAAACGGAATGAATACATCGAAGTAACCTCTCTGAAAAGTCTGAAGTAAATTGCAGTTTTACAGTTTAATGAATTTTTAAATCATGCACATATTTCTACATAAATATTCCAGTTGCTGTACACTAATATTAATTTAATAAAATATGGACACGTCTCATATGGACAACGCGCCCTTCTGCACTTGTATTACTTTGTATTGTATTACACAATCAAAGACTTTTCCAATGATTAAAAACATCTATGACAATAATCTCATGAACCTATGATGATCTGTCTAGAATAATATGAAAAAATATAGGCAAAAGTGGTAATAAAGGCAGACACCAACCCGTACAATAGATATAAAATAGGCCTAGTTCAAAAAGAATGTAAGAGTTGTTGCTATAAAATGATTGTCAACTGATTTCGTATTGGAAGGTTATATTGCAAAACATGACATGATACAGAAGAAAATAAATTTTAAAATAAGTAAATATCATTGAAAATACTTCTTTTGGTATTTTCAATAACTCAATAACTCCCAATAAACGTATGTTGTTTAAAATACAATTTAAGAATTAACAACTGTTTAATTCAAAAGTATTATCCACATCATCAAAATGTAAACAAATCTGTGGAGGGATCTTTAAGGGCTTCTGGGGCAGAGCCCTAACGGGATTCAATTTGTTTTTCTTTTGATAACTCATCTAGAGACTAAGACCTTTCTTTGGACACCTCTACCAAGTTTCTACGCCCAGCCGTTCTCTCAAATTAGTGGAGACAAAGTTTCAAATTAAATATTTGAATTCCCCCATGTTAATCTTATGGGAGAAAACCCAACTTTGATGGATGATCCTGCCCAAACTAATAAAGATTTCAAAAAATGAAAAACACTTTGCAAAACTACAGATCAGGGCCATTATTTTGACTTTTTAACCATTAAAATCGGTCCAAAAATGAGGGAGGAGTTCTGTTCACAAAAATCGGCTTAGCGTATTATATATATAGAAGAATAGATGTTAATATGGTAATATGCATATAATTCTTTGTTTACATCTACTTTGTTATCTCATAACCAAAATGGCAACCCTTAAGACTAATGTCAAACATTTTTTATTAGTTTTAAATTGTACAGGAATTATCAAATTGAGATTTTTTTGTTAAATGACATGGGTAAGAAATTGGGATTGAGGAAAAGTAAATTAAGAGCAAGTGAAAACAGCTGATTGTATTTTTGTTGCTCTAAATTAGGAGCGAAGAAATCGATTCCATCGTTAAGAGAGGAGCAACTTTCTTTTGTGCATTTAGCCATAGCCATAGACTAACCATCACGAAGCCTATCATGTGAAATTGCCAGTTTCCATCCAGAGAGGGGAAAACAAAACTTTCAGTAAACGATATATTTTCCACATACAGCTTATGATTTAAATTATTTGTATTCAAAATCTCTATACAAATCTATTTAAAAATCTTGTATGTGTTTAGTATTTTAAAGGAGACCAGGAAGCATTTTGAACCCTTTATCCTTTTAATTATTATCAACTATTCCAATAGTGTCTGGGAGCCCGTGGATAACAACAAAGATTACCATGAATTGTGACACTGATTCCTGCCAGACATTCTCTAGTTTTTGTAAGTTTTACATGTAGATCCCGCACAGGTTTATAACATTAGGGCTTTATTGCTCTACGTTTCGTTATATGCTATTTTGATGTTTTGTAAATAGTTACAGTAAAAAAATGTAAGTTTCAGCTGATGAACTTTAGCAAACGTGTATGTGAATTTTCTTATTGATATTTTTAGATTTTCTTATGACTCCCATAATAACGAAGTCGCAGAACAAGAAGCAGGTTTGTCATTCATAATTCAAGATTTGTTTGCTCGCTTCAAAAGTATACTATCCAAGCAAGCAGAGCAGATTCACTTCTTAACCTGTTAACAACAGTCATTTCTCGTTTAAAATTAATATTGTTCTCAAAATTGCTCTTTGGAACGCCAATGGCTTGGCTCAGCATAGTCAAGAAATTCAATTGTTTATTTAATAATCATTAAATAATTTTAAAATTCCAAATTACACTTTAAACTCTACAAACAACCCTGACAATACAGCTCACGGAGGTAGTGCCATATTGGCTAAAAACTGTATCAAACATAATGAAATGCCAGGTTTTAGGGAACAATACCTGCAAGCTTCAAGCATTGTTTTTGAAGACATGCAAGGACCTCTTACTCTTTCTGCAATTTACTGCCCTCCAAGACATGTTATAGCTTATGAACATTTTGACAGATTTTTACTAGTCTAGCGACTAGGTCATCGCTGGAGGAGACTATAATGCCAAGCATCAAGAGTGGGGTTCACGCTTGGCCACACCAAGAGGTCGGCAGTTGCTAAGGGTAATTAATGACAACACTCTAAATCATATTTCAACAGGTGAACCTACTTATTGGCCGACTGATATGAGGAAAACTCCTGATTTATTGGACTTCTTCATAACAGAAGGTATTAATCAAAACGACACTAATATCCAATCAAGTCTCTGACCATTCACCAATAATATTGCAAATCAGTTTTCACAAGTTTCGCGTGTTTTTCATCAAAAAGCAACTGAACAACAAGGGTTATACAAACAACAAAGGTTATACAACAAGGGCAATAATTGGGACCTATTTCGTCAAGAAGTAAACCGAAATTTAACTTTAAAATTCAATTATAAAGCAATCCAAATTTAGAAGACGCTATTGGCTTATTTATAACTTGTATTCAGAATTCTGTGAGAACATCAACTCCTGTCCTCATTATTTGTTGAAACCTGGATTAAGTTACACTATTTTTTTTAAACAGAAGATTGTGGGAAAATAAGGCCGAGAAGAATCTGGCAAAATAGCAGGAATCCAGTTGATAAAGCAAATTTTGATAGGGCATCTCGAAATTTGAAGCGGCTGTTATGTGATGTAAAAATCACTAGTTTGAGAATTACACCCAATCTCTATCAACTTCCAAAGCTACGGATTATTCCCTCTGGAAAGCTACGAAGCGAAAGAAGCGCCCAAAGATACGAATTTCGCCTATTTTAAAATCTGATGGGAGCTGGGCAAAATGTAACACAGAGAAGTCTGAAGCCTTTGCTCAATACTTTGAGAATGTGTTCAAACCAAATGCGGCAGTAAACAACGAGGAAGAGGTACTTGAATATTTGGATGCTCCACTACAACTTGACTTCCCATCGCAGAAGTTCAAACCATCAGAACTAAAATCAATCATCACCAACAATCTTCATTCTGACAAGGCTCCTGGTTACGACCTCATAACTGGTAAAATACTTAAAGAGCTTCCACGAAGAGGAATAATGTTTTTTTACTATTTTATTCAATACAATGTTAAAACTTGAATATGTACCAGATCATTTCAAAAGAGCACATCTTTTACCAGAAATGTCTAAGTTATTTGAAAAACTTCTTCTGAAAAGGATACAGAACCTAATTGGCGAAGATGTGATTCCTACGCATCAGTTTGGTTTCAGACGGAAACACAGTACCATAGAACAGGTTCACCGAGTTGTTGACGTGATACGTCAATGTATGGAAAATTAAAAATTTTACTCAGCTGCCTTCTTGGATGTTAGCCAGGCATTCGATAAGGTGTGGCATGTTAGCTTGTTATCTAAAGTAAAAAAGTTTTTACCCCGTTCAATTTTTACGATTTTAAAATCCTACCTTCAAAACTAAATGTCAAGATGTCCTCACTGACTTACATCATTGACTATTTACATCCAATTGAATCTGGGATTCCTCAAGGAAGTGTCCTCGGGCCGTTTTTGTATATTCTCTACACAGCAGACCTCCCAGAAAATGAGTTGGTAGAAATTGCTACATTTGCGGACGATATTGCAACTTTGTCTGTTCATCGTGATCCAGTTCAAGCTTCTCTAAATTTACAGTAAAATCTGAACATAATTACTGATTGGTTTAAAACATGGGGATTCAAAATTAATGAAACTAAATCTGTCCACATTTCTTTTACTGTAAATTGAAATTCTTGTCCTCCTGTCACAATAAACAACACCCAACTTCCTGAAGTAACAGAGGTTAAATACTTAGGTATCCATTTAGATAGGAAATTAACAAACACACATTTGGAGAAAACGGCAACAACTAAATTTAAAATCTAATCAGTTAAATTGGCTCATCGGAAGAAAATCAAAACTAAGTCTAGAAAATAAATTATTGCTGTATAAAATGATATTGAAACCAATATGGACAAATACGGAGTCCAACTGTGGGGCTCGGCGAGTACTTCAAATATCGAAATTATACAAAGATACCAATCAAAAATGCTGAGACAGATAACTAATGCACCTTGGTATGTCACCAATAGAACGCTACATGAAGACCTTAAGATCCCTACAGTTAAGGACGAAATCGTTACCTTAAGTCAAAGATATATTTCAAAATTAGAATGTCATCAAAATCATTTAGCGTTGAACTTACTAAACAACACGGATATAATTTCCAGACTTAAGAGGCCATCAATTCTGAACCTGCCCTTCAGATTTTTGTAAAGTGATTTATCGAAAAATTTGATGTTGACAGTGCTTAACAGCAATTTTTAATTCTCAAAAGTTACTTTGTTTTATTGTATGGCATTTACTTATTTTTCAACACATTATAAAACAAATTGTAAAGTAAACAAATAAAAAAAGTGTGTTAAGGTATATAGGTAACTATTTATTTGAAGAAATGCTGTATTCAGAAATGTGTTCCAATTACCTTTGTGATTGATGCTGTTACAACAACTATGAATATTATGTATGTTAAGCAAAACAGTAAATAATTTTTCAATTTTAATTTTGTATGCATTTTATAATAAAGAAGTGGATTGGGCCTCTTAAATTATTTCTCAATCCAATTTTATTTTAAATCGTACCAAAATGTCCAAACGAATTATTTAAAAATCCAGTGGTTTATTACTTACCCCGTGTTTCAACGTTAGTCTGAAGGAAGACTGAGTATCAGTGGTACATAGTTTTATATAAATCCGTTTCATGTGTTGGCGGATCCGTAGAGCCGTCACGGAGAATGATATCAATTAACACATTAAGGTGCATCGAGCCACGCGTTCGCTATTTTTGGTCCAACCACCTACGCAAGTTTACAATTATGAATTCCGTTCGCCTACCTCTCCTGCCAGGTAAGGTCAGGGTAAATGTTGAGAAACGAGCTGTTAAAGAGTTCGAATTTGTTCATTTACGCAATCATTTATCTTTTAGATAAAAATACAATCAGTTTTTCGCTGCAAATTAATGACATTGATCATTTAATTCAATTGGAATTGATTTCGCAAATCGTAGGGAACTTTCCAATTCCAATTATTATTAACTTTCATAATTTGGTATTTTATCTCATCCATTTAATGATGGCGCGATTTCAACTTTTCAAGGTTATGTCATAGAGTGCACTACTCAAACAACTGCAGCATATATCACAGCAACATTCAATTCCACTCAATCATTTTAAAATAAGCAAGAGCGTGTTTCGACTTCCTACGTTACGAAAGGCTACAACAACGTAATAGAACCTGGATTAAAGATTTTTCATCCTCATGAACAGAAAAAAATTGTTGACATTTACATGAATAGATTATGTGCAATTTCTTGAGGAGTACACGCCTTAAACAAATGGAAAGTGCATGTCTTAAATTTCTTAGGAACTAAGAACTTCATGTTTTCCATTTTTTGTATTTCTTAATTTATGACAGGTGTAGGACTATTTTGTAAAAAGATTTACACGAAAATTACAATCAGATTTAGACAATAAATGCAGTTGATAACTGGATTACCTTCTTGTATATTTCAGCCAACGAACATTTTCCTTAATGAGTAGTGTCACTCTTAATTGTCCCTGGCTGAACGCTTGCTACGAAATTAAAATTTTCTAAGAATTCTTCATTAATGAAAAAAGCGTCACTAAATTCATTAAAGTGGCCTATTTTTAAGAAAAATTGTATTGATTAAATAATGGTGGTATATAAACGATATTATGAAAACTTGAACAGTTAAACGTGAGAGACGGCAATATCAACATGGTGAGTATGAAGATTACATTAGTGTATGCTATTATATATATTTTTTAACATCAATCTAAATCTATAGCTATCTATCTATCTATCTATCTATCTATCTATACAGAGTATTTCGAAAATCTCTCCTGAAACTCCGTGGTCATGTTCCTTAGGTCAAAACAAACAAAAAATATCATATAAACATATGCCCTATATCTCTTTGTTTTCCGTTTGTCGATGAGTATGTATTTTTTACATAACTTCCCATAACTTTGGAACCAATTGAGGTACCATCTTCAAACTTGGTACGTGTATGATAACTATTCTTTTGCAAAGCATCAAGTTTCTACTTAGTGTAATTTCAAAATGGTAGCCGTTTATATTTTTCAAAGCTTAATAACTAAAAAACCATAGGATTGATACAAATCTTACAAACGACAAAAATGATGGCAATTTAATTCACTTCACAAAAATGCACAATTGTTATAGAATCATAATACAAATAACGGGTAAAATGAAATTTTCTGAAGTTAAAACAAAAAATTTGGCAAATTCAATAAATTAGCAGGTATAATCCACCTTTATAAAAATTAAATTTTCTCCGTTATTTGTGTTATGGCCCAATAAAAATTTTACATTTCTGTAAAGTGAATTAAATTTCCATCCTTTTTACTGTTTGTAGCTTTTAGCGAATTCCCCTATAGGGAAGTAGCTATTACTGTATTTATGATGAAATAAGGGAATAAAATATATAAAATACTTTATTAATAATTGATGTAAAAAGGAAAGATATTAAAACATTAACACTTCAAACTGTGAACATATTAGAACAACATAATAATAATCACAAGCAGCTGATATAAAAAGACACATTAAAAAGATATTTGATTATATAGCACTTAAGTAAATCAATACTATATAAAATCTTCAACATTCCCCCTTAATCAAACATCTTTTTTTATTATTTAATCAGAGTCTTTAAGTCCCAAGTCCGTCACAAAGTTATTAATTTTTTCACGTGACAATGATTTGGTTAAAATATCAGCTATTTATATAGTTATTTATGTAAATAAAAAAAGGGATGGTCCCAGCGTACTGCCCTGGACAACTCCGTAGTCTATTTCACGTATCTCGCTAAAATTGTTGTTAATAGAAACTAACTGGCTTCGTTTATTCAAATAACTACTAAACCATTTTAGGGCCAAACCACGAATTCTGATGCATTCCATTTTATTTAGAAGAATATTTCTATCAATGGAATCAAATGCCTTTGCAAGGTCAATGAACACGGTCAATGCTTTTTCATTTACAATCCAAAATATATTTATTCATAGCGAAGAGAGCATCACTAGTATTTTTACTCTTCCTAAAACCATACTGGCATTCTGATAACAAATTATTATCTTCCAAATAACAGTGCAATTGTATTTTGACACATTTTTCTAAAATCTTAGACATAAGATTCAACAGGGATATTGGGCGATAATTGTTTAACTCTTGCTTTGTGCCAGATTTATACAAAGGAACTACTTTCGCTATCTTAAAACGGTCAGGAAATTGTCCAGAGAGAATGCTTAGATTAACTAGGTGTTTGTCTATTAGTTATAGAGGATATTTAAAAAATTGTAATTTTAAAATTCTCATGTTACTAGTGTACCTGTTGCTCGAATTCGAGCAATTGCGAAGCATTACAGGTGACTCACGAAGATTATGGAAATACTCACGATCTACACAACAGTTAGATATAATCAAAATCTTTTGTAAATATCTTGTCTTTTCTCAAAAAGCTGATCTTGTTTTTTAGTGTTTCTACAAATTTTTCCCTCTCATAGCCGCATTAGGATGTCTATAATAACGATTATAAATGAAAAAAAAAAAACAAAATTACTGTATTTCTTTTCTTCTACTTGGTTGTGTTCTATGACTTTTTCTATGTTTCCATTGTTTGCAAATCGGTTATTTCAATGATTGCTCAAGAAATGTAGAATATTGTTAATTCAGTTTAATTTTAGCCTATATCAAACTGTCCAGGATTTCTCGCTTTTTTAAAATTGTAATAATTTCACCAACCCAAGTTTCGTTTACAGATGCAATACGCCAAAGAATATCACCTACGTACAATCTCCAAGAAGTGGTAAAAAAGGCAGAAACCAAGCCAATAGATAGAAGTTAACTCCATAAGAAATAATTTTAAGAGTTACTGTGATATTAGGATTTTCCACTGGATTTGGTAACAGAACATTATATTGCAAAACATGACATGATGCAGAATAAAATCGATTTTAAAATCATAAAAACCCATTGCAAATACTGTACTTCATTTTGAAAAATTCAATAAATCACAATTTAAATATTAACAGCTGTTTCATTAAAAATTTGTGTAGAATTATGCATATGGTAAACAAATTTGAAGAGGTAACTTTAAAGGCTTCTGGGGCAGAGCCCCAAGGGAATTTACCACGTTTCTCTTTTGATGGCTCATCTACAGACCAAGACCTTTCTTTAGACACCTCTACCAAGTTTCTACGCCCAGCCGTTTCCTCAATTTAGCTATGACAAAGAAAAACAGTTTCAAATTAATATATAGACTAGTGTACCTGTTGCTCGAATTCGAGCAATTGCGAAGCATTACAGGTGACTTACGAAGATTATGGAAATACTCACGATCTACGCAACAGTTAGATATAATCAAAATCTTTTGTAAATATCTTATCTTTTCTCAAAAAGCTGATCTTGTTTTTTGGTGTTTCTACAAATTTTTCCCTTTCATAGCCGCATTAGGTTGTCTACAATAACGATTATAAATGAAAAGAAAAAAACATTATTTCTTGTCTTCTACTTGGTTGTGTTCTATGACTTTTTCTATGTTTCTATTGTTTGCAAATCGGTTATTTCAATGATTGCTCAAGAAATGTAGCATATTGTTAATTCAGTTTTATTTTTAGCCTATATTAAATTGTCCAGGATTTCTCGCTTTTTTCCATTGTAATAATTTCACCAACCCAAGTTTCGTCTACAGATGCAATACGCCAAAGAATATCACCTACGTACAATCTCCATGAAGTGGTAAAAAAAGGCAGAAACCAAGCCATACAATAGATATAAGTTAACTCCATAAGAAATAATTTTAAGAGTTACTGTAATATTAGGATTTTCCACTGATTTGGTAATAGAAATTTATATTGCAAAACATGACACGATGCAGAATAAAATCGATTTTAAAATAAGAAAAACCCATTGCAAATACTGTACTTCATTTTGAAAAATTCAATAAATCACAATTTAAATATTAACAGCTGTTTCATTAAAAAGTAGTGTAGAATTATGCATATGGTAAACAAATTTGAAGAGGCAACTTTAAAGGCTTCTGGGGCAGAGCCCCAAGGGAATTTACCTCGTTCCTCTTTTGATATCTCATCTATAGACCAAGACCTTTCTTTAGAGACCCTTACCAAGTTTCTACGCCCAGCCGTTCTCTCAAATTAGCTGGGACAAAAACCCAGTTTTTCCTCCATAAGAATAACATGGGATGGGAATTCAAAGGCCACTGGGGCAGAGCCCCAAGGGAATTTACCACGTTGCTCTTTTGATGGCTCATCTACAGACCAAGACCTTTCTTTAGACACCTCTACCGAGATTTTACGCCCAGCCGTTCTCTCAAAATAGCTATGACAAAGAAAAACAGTTTCAAATTAATATATAGATTCTTATGGAGAATATTGTAAAACTAGGTGAAACCCGTCGAAATCGACGGTTAGTTTCAAGATTACGCTAATTCATCCAACTGCGATACATAGAGTGAAATTTTACAAATTTTGAGCATTTAGCATTGATTAATGAGTAATAAGTGTAAACCAATAATGATTAAAATCTACATATATAAGCTACAAAATATGGTTGATCGTTCAATGAATAAAATATTTCCCATACGTCATAGGAGTTCT